TCTTTAAGCTCTGAAAGCAAGGGAGTGTGCTTGCTGCAGGTGGGGGCAGGTGGGGGTAGTGAGAAGAAACCCATACCCCTTTTTTGGGCTTTCCCCAAAAAAGGTTATCCCTTCTCTCAGGGATAAACTTTTTGAAGTCCCTTAGAATTTTTTTTTTACTCCAAGATCTCCATTATTTGTTTTTGTAGAAATAACCTCAAGTCCTGGAAAAAAAAAATGCCTGTTTAGAAAACAATACTGTGGATTCATCAGAATTTAACATAGCGGACTTAAGCACACAAAATAGGTGACTGACAATAAGCCAGATGATACAATTCAAACTTTTATTTGGCAATAAGTTCAGAGTCACATAACACATAAAATCAACATTTAAAATAAATAGCAAATTCACATCTAGAATAAATAAGCCTGCCTAATTTGCATTAATTGTGCCTGATATCATACAGGCACAATCTGTCATTCCACGAGATAATTGGAAAAGAGTCTCCAAAGTCAGAGTTCAAACCTGCAGGACTGAAAACGCACAGAAGCACTGTCGCAGGCTGGGTTCCCCAAAAGCAGATACTGAGGTGGAGAATGGCGTGCAGGAAGGTTCACAGGACAGTGCTGTGGGCTGAGCCGGGCTGGGTACAGGCTTGGCAGGGGGAGGCACTGGGCTGCAATGTGGCCACAGTGAGGTCTCACTGACCCCACAAGGGGCTCTGGAGCTGGGATGGCCCCAGAGGGTTTCCCAAGTTGGGGTGGGGAGGCCAGCCCTTTGTACCCCATATGGAGCCGGTAAGGGTTACAGGCAGGAAGGGGCTGCGATCTGGGGCAGGCAGGGCTCTTCAGCAGGGGAAACTCCCCATGAGGGCTGGAAGTAAACGGCCCGCCAGCAGCACTCCCAGCAGTTAGGGGAGTATGTCTTTCAGTCTGGAAAGGTCATCTGGGCAGCTGAGCTCAGCACCCAGCACTAGCACAATTACAAACTAATACAATGAGAGGTATATTCAACAAGTGCCCAAGCCTGATGGCTCAAGTACACACACTGGCCATACGTGTAACTATGCCCAGGAAGTAGCCCAGAAGGGAATACAGTGCACTATTACCTACAGAACTTTCTCCTCCCTGCATCCCAGCTATGAGGTTAGTCATCTGCACATTCTCAGCAAGGGAATCTTGCCATTGCCACCAACACAATCCATTAGAGCAGGAGCTAACAAGCCACAGCCTGAGGGCCAAATCCAGCCCACAGCTTGTCTTGGTAAATCAAGTTGTAATGAAACACAGCCATGACCATGGTCATTCCTACAGCAGTAGCAGCAAAAGCAAACAGCCCAAAAAGCCAAAAATACTTCCTATCTGGCCTTTACAGGAAAAGTTTACTGACCCTGCATTAAGGGTACTTCATTAACCCACTAGTAGTATCAAAGGTTAGCTGAACTTTGAGCTAAGCTCCTAAATGCTAAGGCAAAAAAAAAAAAAAAAAAAGAAAGAAAAACCTGGTACAAAAGAAAGTCGACATTAAGAAGGCAAAATGTAGGTTCTCTATTAGTTGAATAGAGCAATCAAGGAACCCTGTGTCTGGCCAAATTTAGTCTTAGAGCATTCTAGACAAGGAACCCCAAGTGGTCTTTGGCAGCAAATGAGCATGCAGAAAAGTAGAATTCAGTTCCAGTATTTAGTCCAGTCTCTGCTGCTTTTAAAAGGTCTTTTGAGAAGAGGATAGAAGAAAAGCCACTTAGTTTGCCCAAAGCTAAATTAACTAGGACACAAGACTACTTTTCAATTCTCCTTTGCAATAATTAAGAGTGACAATGCATTCAAAGCAACTAGTCATTTTAGTCTGTAATATGCCCAAATCAGTAGCGAGCGGTTTATGTTACATCATATTAATGGGAACAGCAGAAAATAGTGCCACAGGTTAAAATGTTTTAAAAAACAGAGAGGCTCTATGTTAGGGGGAAAGTGGGGGCTCTAAGCCAAACAACTGAAGTATTTCAAAAGCCACGTTTCACCTGTAAAAACAACACTGGAAAAAAAAATCAGCTGTGCAAGTCCCTTCCAAAGGGACCTCTATGGGCCTTGCTGGACTGTCATATCTGTGATGGCTGCTGCCCTGGACTCATTATTATTCACATAATTCTTAGAAAATCAGTCAAAGCAATATTAAAAAGTAATTTTTAAATGTTCAAACTATTTTTGCTTTACAACATGATTTCTTAAATGGTTGAAAACAGATTCGTTTCCCTTGTACCAATATGCATTCATGCATGTGCACACCAGAGAACAAAATGCCCAGTGCAGTGTGCCAGATCCCACACTGCACTGTCATGACAGGCTGGGCACGGTGGCTCCCACCTGTAATCCCAGCACCTTGGGAGGTCAGGGCAGGTGGATCACCCGAGGTCAGGAGTTTGAGACCAGCCTGGCCAACATGGTGAAACCCTGTCTCTACTAAAAACACAAAAAAATTAGGTGGGTATGGTGGCAGGTGCCTATAATCCCAGCTACTAAGGAGGCTGAGGCAGGAGAATCGCTTGAACCCAGGAGATGGAGGTTGCAGTGAGCCAAGATCGCACCATTGTACTCCAGCCTGGGCAACAAGAGCAAAACTCTATCTCCAAAAAAAAAAAAAGAATCATGACGAGGCCAGGCACAGTGGCTCACACCCAGAATCCCAGCACTTTGGAAGGCTGAGGTGGGCAGAACACTTGAGGCCAGGAGTTTGAGACCAGCCTGGCTAACATGGTGAAACCCTATCTCTACTAAAAATACAAAAACTGGCTGGGCCTGATGGCATGTACCAGTAGTCCCAGCTACTCAGGAGGCTAAGGCACGAAAATTGCTTGAACCTGGGAGGCAGAGGTGCAGTGAGCCGAGATTGCACCACTGCACTCCAGCACGGGCAACAGAGCGAGACCTTGCCTCAAAAAAAAATAAAATAAAATAAAAAGTCATGACAGCAACAAGTTAAAATCTGTCCTGAGTATAGACAAGGATTAATAATAAACTGGGATGGGCCTCCATCGTTCACATGGGAATGACGGTGCTCAGCCCCGTTACCGCCACGACATGGGTCTACAGTCTGCAAGGTACACACTCAGTGAGCCTTGGTGGCCTAGACGACAGGCTTCTGCCACATGGGAGATTTCAACACTGCCAAGTTCAATGGCCGAGAGACTGAAATTCTTCTAAATGGGAATTGATTATAAAACTCATCATTCACACCCAGAAAACGTTTTTCTCCTTCAAAGCTTAGGTCACCTAACCTAAACACTCATGAAAACAGGTTTTAAAAATAGTTCTACTTCATTCTTGAGTAAACAAAACACCCTATAACTGGCACCTGGTAGGTAACCAATGAATATCTGATTAGATAAAAACCAATAATTATTTTTAAACAACACCTACTTCCTCAATCTGCTTCTCCAAAGGCAGAAACTTGAAGCCAAGAGCATCAGCACATTCTTCTAGAACCCCAACACTGAGCAGTTCTGAGCACAACACACATCCATCAAGTGTCAGCCTCCAATACACCCTGATGATGGAAACACCTAGAAGCAAGCAAACAATAAACAAAATGCCTGCCCTGTTCCAAAAAAAGAACATACTACTGTGTCTTACTGTGTTCATAACAAAATGTAGAAGATGGGGAGAAGCCTTATTGGATCTAAAGGGTCACCTTCACCATTATAGTTAAATACAGCCAAATATCACAAGTACATTCCAACTATAACAAGTAGCATTACAAACGATGCTATGTAACTCGTTAAGTTTCTGCCATCTGGCAAGGAGCCCATGGAATGCCAGGCTCGCATTTCATCAATAGATGGTTACATACATTTATCACAATAAAAATGTTGAATAAGCAAGCACTCTCCACAAGCTCCCCTCATGTTCCTGCCATCCTTTAGATTTAAGAGTATAACATGGTACCGCCAAAGCTTAAAATGAGTTTTAGCAATACTAGATTAGGCTAATCTGAACAGAAGTATTTATATAGCATACGCAATTAAAATAGTATTAGCAGCGCCATAACTAATAACAGCAGACATTCCCATAGCACTCAGAGAGTGCAGTAAATATGCGCTTTATGTTGAAGGATACTACAAATGCAGATGCAATTAAGGATTCTTCCCTCCAACAAAAGGAATATATGCCACTTGCACTGCCCCTAGAAAGAAATGAGAAAAGCAGGCCAGGTGTGGTGGCTCACGCCTGTAATCCCAGCACTTTGGGAGGCCGAGGTGGGCCAATCATCTGAGGTCGGGAGTTCGAGACCAGCCTGACCAACATGGAGAAACCCCATCTCTACTAGAAATACAAAATTAGCTGGGAGTGGTGGTGCATGCCTGTAATCCCAGCTACTTGGGAAGCTGAGGCAGGAGAATCGCTTGAACCCGGGAGGCAGAGGTTGCAGTGAGCTGAGATTGCACTACTGAACTCCGGCCTGGGCAACAAGAGCAAAACTCTATCTCAAAAAAACAAAACAAAACAGAAAGAAATGAGAAAAGCTCGGTTAGCTAAGTCATATCTATTTCTCAGCTTCAATGTCCTTCACCCTTTCCCATCTTAGACATCTTTAAAAAAAAAAAAAAAAACTATACAAACTCCCCAATAGTCGCACAAACACCGCAGGAGTGAAATCTGAGAGAAGGCTGGACCTGGCTAAGTTGTGGTGGCCATCTTCGTCCTCCCCTGGCCAATCCAAGCACCTCTCAGTTGATAACTCATCAGAGAGAAGCCAGGAACTTGTTTGTTTCCATCTAGACAAGGACTGTTTCTGGTAAATCTCATGTTTTAACAGGATTCCAATTCAAACGGGTGGTGGCATGGCATAGCATTTCATCATAAAGATGCCTTTCCCTGGTTCATTTTCTTTCTTCCAGTGAGCACATGAAACCAACTCGGGTGGCGTTTCCAGGTTTAACAGGCTCCTGGGAGATCTACCACAAAAGTTTTGGTTCTTCTAACCCACTCATTTCTTGCAGAAGGCTCTTCAGAAGGCTGTTCCACTAGCTGGAAGGTTTTGACCAGAGCTCTCATCTCCTCTCTCCTGCCCTCCTCCATGCTGGGAAAGGACACAGGAATCACACACTGAGGACAAAAGGGTCCAGGAGTTGCAACTTCTCTTGTTCTTTCTCACCTAAGTCCTTCCGGGGAGGCTGTGTTCTTTGATGCAATGTGCCAGAATGTCAAAGCCTTAGTACCAAATGATTTGGGAAGTGGCCATCACCTGGGGGCTTCTCTGTCACTCACAGGAGCGTTTTGCCATTGTGGAGCCCTCTAAATCAGCCTTCTGGAAGCAGTTAATCTTTGCCCATCACTGTGCCCCTGCAGTTCCCAATGCACTGCCAGTACACGTTCAGGAAATGTGCCATGGAGCAGTCAAGAACCGTTTCAAGCCTGACCTGCTACAATACAGAGACGGTATCAAGTGTCTCACCTATCCCAGAAAACCTGATGTTCCAGGACCTCGGTAAACAAAAAGGCGAAATCAGAGTTCCAATGAGAAGTTTGCCTTTCAGCCCTGCATGGAGGGAAACGCTAGAGAGGCGGGCTGCTAGCTCCTGTCTTAACCATTGGGAGAATTATTCTCCATAAGGTACAAAACAAATATCAAAAGGCTTATCTGTATCTTTTCCAAAAGCAACACTCAGACCCACATGACGTCAACCCCATCATGCCTGCCCAATCAGGGGCAGTTACAGTTTCTAGCTTTTGCCCTCGGCTACTCGGCCTGGGCCTCCTGCAGGAGAGGGGTTCTGAAGGTGGGGGGCCTTTCTGACCAGGCGGGCAGTTCGTGCTGCAGTGGAGTCCTCCGGGGGTAGAAAGTGTGGCTGACGTCATAGTTCAGGAGGCAGCTCAGAGACGCCATGTAGATGTCAGCGAAGCGTGACAGGCGCCTCAGGAAGTAGGTTGGGTTCTGGTCTGTGCGGAACAGGCTTCCAAACTGGGCGTTGAAGAAACTCTTGGTCATTTCTCTGAAGGGGCAATAAAAAAGCAAAGCAACACAGAATGATTCAAAAAGCCTTGTTTTTAAACTACTGAAATCAAAATCACTTCTTTTTCAGAAAAATAAAAAAAATAGGACTCATTTGAGAAAAAAGCCTAGAGCAGCCCCAAATATTAATTAAGAAAACAGTCTAGAGCCAGGTGTGGTGGCTCACATCTATAATCCCAGCACTTGGCGAGGCCAAGGCAGGTGGATCACTTGAGGCTAGGAGTTCGAGACCAGCCTGGTCAACATGGTGAAACCCCATCTCTACTAAAAATATAAAAATTAGCCAGGCATGGTGGCGCATACCTGTAGTTCCAGCTACTCAGGAGGCTGAGGCACAAGAATCGCTTGAACCAGGGAGGCAGAGGGTGCAGTAAGCAGAGATCATGCCACTGCACTCCAGCCTGGGCAACAGAACGAGACTCTGTCTCACAAAAACAAACAACAGTCTGGCCCGGGCATGGCAGGTGGATCACTTGTGCCCTGGACCACCAGCATGGGCAACATAGTGAGACCTTGTCTCTACAAAAATGCAAAAAATTTGGCCAGGCATGGGGGCATATGTCTGTAGTTCCAGCTACTCAGGAGGCTGAAGTCGGAGAACTGCTTGAGCCCAGGTGGTTGAGGCTGCAGTGAGCTATGACTGTGCCACTGCACTCCAGCCTGGGTGACAGAATGAGACCCTATCTAAAAATAAAAAAAGAAAAAAGCCTGCCTATCCATCCATCAAAACGACTCTGGTCCTATTTCCCCCTTAACTGTCTCAAGGCTCCAGATGCTTTTGCACGTTTCTCTAAGGACACACGCCCCATCTCCCAAACTAAACACAGGATGCAACAGCTGCTCCCGATGGTACACAGAAGAATACGGAATGCTCTCAGGAGTCTCCACTTCCCTTACCGAAAGGATCAAGACCCCCTGTTTCACAAGCTTATTGTGAGAACTGAGTAAGGTAAGAAAAATAAAAGCATGTTGTAAACTCTCAAGTGCTCAGATGGAGGAATTAAGGATTGTTTTATGTGATGTAAATCTTCCCCATCCATTACATACTTCAATGCCTCCCGGCCTCCTCAGAAGTGAGACTGTTCACCCCGTCCAAGTTCCATAAGCCCCTGCAGTCATCCTTACGTGCATGTATGTCTATTTCAACATCTCTATCATACACACACAGGATATGCACTCTCTGATGGCTGGCACCCTACAGAGTAGTCCATCAAAATGAACAAATACTATTTGACTGCTAATAAGTCATTTACAAACACAGCAAAAAATAGAATCATTTACACAGCTGTGTGATAAAAGCCACCAGTTAGTTGGTAGCAGTTAAAATAAGACTCAGGCAGTCAACATCCTGAGAGGGAGGAGGACAAACTAAATGCAATACAGCTTTGGCTTCTGCAGAATCTGAGGAATGGACTCACTGTCCCCTCTCCATGCCCCGTCCACCCACCCACGCACACTACCACATGAACCCCCGAGTCAGGCTGCCCACGGCTGGGAGGCCAGAATCCCACCACAACCACTGCTGCCAAACCTCAGAGATGGCTGTGCCCAGCGGCTGGAGAAGGCCATGCACAAAGTCAGAAAAGTTCATGCCAATGGCATAAAGCATTCTCCTAGAGAAGCATGATTGTCAGTATGGGTTCCCTTAAGACAGACACCCACCAAACTTTTCTCACGGCAGGCAGGCTTGCTTTATCAGTTAACAGAATGCACATTCTTGAAAGAGCTGTGGTTACAAATAAGCACCAGGGTCGTGGGAGCCCTAAGAATTCACTGTGGGTTCGGAGCCCAAATCCAGCACTGCCCCAATAGCCACATTGTGCTGCCAGCATTGTTAACAACTGGGCCAGCAGCTGCCCAGATGGGAAGGTCAGGAAGGCAGGGAGGAGGAATGAGATGGAAAGGCTCCATTCTCCCAAGGCCTTCGATGGCAAGGGTGGAGGAATGACAGGGGTGATGGCTGGCCTCAAGGAAATGTTACATGTCACCAACAGCAGGTAGCCGATTCTGGATCCTGGGGGAGGCAGACATACCTGGGAGCTAAAAAAGGATGTTTCAACATTATGCCTCAGGCTGGCCCTGGGGAACAGACGTGGGCTGAGCACGGCCAGAACAGGGTGGTGGACATGCCACATTCAATACAGGCCGCTCTTACCTCATCTCCTTCCTTTCCTTTTTCCACTCCTGCAAAACCAGCTGTGACTCAGCATCTCTGTGAACCTGTAGGACGCAAGTCAATTATTACGACTGTTTTGGTTTCAAATAAACTCATTACGTAATGAGAATTTTTTAATGAGCAGCTTTTCTAGAAATTTTATTCCTTTACATCTCAGAGGTTGGCACCTGAATGAAATAATACATTTTTCAGGCTTTCCAGTTGAAACCCTGCCTTCTTCAGGAATAAAAAATAGTTTTAAATGTCCAACATTAGAAATGTGGTTTAACAAAGTAAGATGAACTATTATGAAGTTATATTAAACTATCAGTAAAGACTACATATAAACATAATGCATGTGTATCCACATATGTATAAGACATGTACGTGATATATCCATTATGCACATGATATATCCATTACACACCTATTATATACAGGTACACAAACTATAATGTAGAAATACTTAGTACATGCTACCTATTATACTTATTATATACATGTGTACAAACATTATAGTTAAGTGGAGACAGCATACATACCCACCAACTGTAAGCATGTCAAAGTATGTGCTTACATTTGGAAATTAACATAAAAAATTACTTTAATTTGTACACGAGAATTATAAATAAACTTTTAAATTTAATATTATATTGTTTAATTTAAAAAACAATTATTTTTTGCAAAAGGCGAGAAGGTAAAGCATCTCCATGAGAAGGAAAAGCAGAGCATTTTCTGGTGGGCCAAAATATGGGTGAAAGGCAAAAAGAAAATGCCAACTGCCCATGATCTAATGAATGGAATCTCACAAGTCTCTCTCCAAGGTTCTTATGGCTAAACAGAAACACTGAGGCCAGAATCCAAGGTGCACATGATCGCAGGGAACAGGCCGGCTCCCTGCAATTCATGACCACGGGGGTAACCTTAGAACCTGGAGGAAAATACCAAGCGGGCAAACCATCTGCTTTTGACATGGGAGCCAAGAACCTTCCGTTTATCACATCTGCTCGGTTCAACAGCTCGACTCTGAACCCCAAGGCTGCTGAAGGGACATGTAAAGGAGAAAGACCCCAGGAATCGGAGGCCAGGGATGCGTGCCCAGAGGGGGACTCTGAGCTCTGCGCCTTTGCTCAGCCACGCTTTGGGCCTTTCCTCCCCTGAAGTACCCAGCTGCTGGCTGGGGCGCCCTGCTGGCTGCCCTGACATGAACCTTTCCCACCATTTATCATCTCTCTCAAGGAACAACCCTCTCGCTTCCATCCTTCCCATCAGTCATTAAACCAAAAATGATTTCTCCCATTAAAAAAAAGAAGATTTCTCCCTGTGCCCACCCCCTTCTCCAGTTCTGTCCCCCTACAAGGCCAAACTCCTTAAAACAAGAGCCTCTGGTTCTGAAATCCACTTTAAAATATTTCAAAGACGGTGTGTGTTCATTAGTTATCATTAATCTTTCAAGTGAAACCATGTACTCTAGAGTGGGTAGTCCACATTGGAAAAGACTAACCAAAGCCCCACAATACAGGCACTTCAGCCATCTCCATCTCCAGTGGTTGTTCATGGGCGTAATCAGCTCTTCAGGGGCAAAGCAGATTGGCCACGTATCTCTGCCCTTGTTTCAGAAAGATAGTACAATCTAGCCAGTACAACAGCCTACATCAGTCCAGCCACCGGCCCATTTTTCTATCAGCCTGTGAGCTTACAAATGGGTTTTTCTTTTTCAATGCTTGGGGGGAAAAAAACTGAAAAGAAGAATAATTTCATGACAGGCCGCGCGTGGTAGTTCAAGCCTGTAATCCCAGCATTTTGGGAGGCCGAGGCAGGTGGATCACTTGAGGCCAGGAGTTCGAGACCAGCCTGGCCAACATGATGAAACCCAGTCTCTTCAAAAATATAAAAATTAGCTGGGCGTGGTGGCGCACACCTATAATCCTAGCTACTCAGGAGGCTAGGCATGAGAATCACTTGAGCCTGGGAGGCAGAGGCTTCAGTGAGCCGAGATCGTGCCACTGCACTCTGGCCTGGGCAACAGAGTGAGACTACCTCAAAAGGAAAAAAAAAAAAAAAAAATTTCCTAACACGTAAAAATTACATGAAAGTCAAATTTCAGTGCCCACCAATAAAGTTTGTTGGGACACAGCTACAACCATTCATTCACATATTGTCCACGGCTGCTTTTGTGCTACAAGTGCAGAGGTGGGTAGCTGCAACAGAGCCTATAGCCTGCACAGCCTAAAATATTTACCATGTGGCCCTTTGCAGAAGCTTGCTGACCTATGGTCTAAATGTGGCCTCTGACTGGTTGGTTACCTGAGCCTGCACAGCCTAAAATATTTACCATGTGGCCCTCTGACAAAGCTTGCCGACCCGTGGTCTAAAAGTGGCCTCTGACTGGTTAGTTACCTGAGAAGCATCTACCAATGCCAGTACCACCACCATGAACCACAGCCATTTTGGAAGGCACTTCAAGGCTAGGTAATGGAATTACAATCAATATTTATATACTTTTATTTCATTCATTAGACTTGGCTCCAAATGACTCCTGTGAGGTCAGGAGTTCGAGACCAGCCTGGCCAACATGGGGAAACCCCATCTCTACTAAAAATACAAAATTAGCTAGGCGTGGTGGCACAAGCCTGTAGTCCCAGCTATTTGGGAGGCTGAGAGAGGAGAATTGCTTGAACCTGGGAGGTGAAGGCTGCAGTGAGCCAAGATCACGCCACTCCACTCCAGCCTGGGCAACAGAGCAAGACTCCATCTCAAAAAATCAAAAAACAAAAAACAAATGACACTCTGCTGGCTCTGAAAAAATCAAACCCGATCTCAGAGGACCAATTTTTCTCCTCGGAAAACTGTCCAAATAATGTGCTACGTGCTCTGAAAATAATCCCCAAGGGGGAGTTCTAGAAACATCTGCCACAGGCTCAGTGGAAAAACTTGTAACTTTCTAGGGGAACACTGAGGAAGAGGGCGACAGTGAGACAGGACATTGATTTGGATGTTTTTTTAGTTAGCAGCTACACACCTCTATATCCCAGTGAATCCAACTTGACAGAACTCTGTACAAAGTGCCAGAATCCAAGGCAATATAGGTGCGTGGAGGTTAAGGGTCTAGAGTTGGGCTGCCTGTGTGTCAACATCAGCATCACCCGTCACTAGAGCAAGTTCTATCTCCTCTGTGCCTCAGGGTCTGCATCAGAAAAATGGGAGTGATGTTTCGGTCCTACTTCAAAGAGTTGCTGTGAAAATGAAATGAACTTAAAGGTTTCGGTGTCCAGAACACAGTAAGTTCTTAAGACATTTTTACACAGCCTGATTCTGCCAACCAAGAACTGTGGTTCCAGAAAAGTGACCTATCTCGCAGTCTCAAGTTTTCTCTCCTGCAAAATGTGGGCGGCTATGTAAATCTTAATTTCCCTTTCTTCCTTCCCTCACCCCACACCTCGTATAATTAATTTTACAAACCACAGAAATATTTTCAGCACTTCCATTCTCTAAAACACACATTCCTTAATAGTCAACTTTTTTTTACACAGGTCAGAAAAAGGAAAACAAAATAAACAAAAAAAAACTGTTTCCAAAGCGAAAATGTACTGACACCATCTACGTGCAGTTGTGTTTGTACATGTGACCAGCTGCCAGGGTCACAGAGACGTCACTGAGCGGGAGTCAAGCCTTGCCTATACCCGAATCCTCTAAACAGGAAGGCACATGAAAGCAGTGCTCTGAAGCATGGACTTTGGGACCTGGTTCAAGCCTTGCCCTGCCATTTTATGATCTCACACATAAATGATACCTAACCTCTCAAAAACTGTTTCCTTATTCTAAAATGGAACAGCTATGACTATTAAATGAGCAATGTGTATAGAGCCAGCACTCAGCACAGTGTCTGGCACATAAAAAGTAACTATTAGTAGTGTATGACATGCACAGACTCTCAACTACATTAACTCAGAATTGATGCCACATATTTTTAGTAAATCATCTCACAGACAAGCATAGCAAGCGAAACAGAATAAATCCTCATCAGAGAAGAGCCAAGAACTAATGGGGCCCAATGCATCCTGGAAACGAGGCCCAGGGGGACGTGCAGGGCCCCATGCTCTGGAATGCATGCACCTGGAGCCAGAATGTGGCCTGCCACTCACAGCCTTGCCTGATCTCACTGCTCAGCCACTCCCACACAGAGTGCCAGCTGGGGCAGGCAAGGCAATTCCCTGCCCATTTCCAAAGCCAGAGGGCAGGCATGGGCAATAGACCGTGGCCACAGATTGCAGGTGTGATAGCCAAGAGAGCAAGCATCTGTGCCTGTATCCTAAAAATGTCAGCACCCATGCTGAGATGGCTGTAGCCCAGGCAAGCTGGAGCCAGGGAGAAAACAAGGTGCCTCACGGAACTGGAAAGGAAAGGGGCACATGGAGAATTAAGGGGATACAGCTACAAAAGAGAGGCAGCTTCCATGGGCCAGGAAATGACTGATACAACTGCCATTCCTCACTTACCAGCCAAAACTGGCTGCCTAACTTAACTCAAGGAAGTAACTGCCAGGGAACTCCAGTAAGCCAGAAAATTGCAGGTATTATCCTCAGAATCAACTGAGACTTTTGCTTGCTTTGACATCTTGACTCTTGCTTTGAGACTCTCTCCCGTAAGCCATGGTGCCTAGACTGAAGTGTTCACTTCATAGGCCCCTTTATTTCACAGACGTGGAAACTGAGGCCCAGAATGGAGAAGCCCCACTGTAGCAGGCGCAGACAGAACCAGCAGACTTAAGCACTGGCAAGGTCTCCTGAATCCCAGTACCCCACAGGAGAGCTCCTAGCAGGCTTCAGTGTGGAAGTGAGGATACTGGATCTTCACTGACAGAGGAATGTGAGCAAACACCTACATTTACACAGGCCCCACAAACACTGTCTAAGCAAAAGAACCCCAGTTGTTATTCTGCAGTCTACTGAAAACAACTTAAGCCTCGTATTTTATAACAATTAAGCAGAATATACCTGAAGTAACTTTCTAACCTCAGGCTTAAAGAAAAAGTGAGAGAGAAAAAAAATATATCCAAACCTGCATCTGTTCCAATAACCCAGTCAAGGTCTGCAGCCAGGTCATGGTTTGAATGTATTGCTCCGTGTTCATGATTTTCAGTTCAGATCGCAACTCTGGGATAATTGCACCAGTCCTCCAGCCATGCTTTAGGGTCAAATCCTGATCACAAAGATCACGAAAAGTCAACATCAAGTCTCAACAGAATCTACACTATGTCATTATTTTCCCAGACATGAGAGGCATTCATTTAATTAGTTTTTGATGGTAATGGTTAGTTATTCACCAAGCTGAATTCAATGAATTGCATTTAATTAAAACAAATTTGGCCCCAGCCTTCGATTATTTCATTCCAAGAAACTTTCAGATCTGGAAATAATTGCTGTGAGTCACAACCCCTGCAGAAACGCTAGGTCTGGAATCATTAACCATGGTCTGTAAAAAAAACAATGAGGTCAGGGGCAGAAAAGGGCTTGACCTAAATGCTACCAAAGGTCTTCATTCAATTCATCCACAGACCTCTGTGTGCCAGGCCCTCTGGGTTATGGAGAACCATGGAATCTCAGACTTGGAATGATCACATACAACATAAGCATGCATGACCACATTTTCCATTCCAAATGTTGTCACCCCATATTTGACAAAAGGCCAGAATATTTAGTATCAGCTATGTCCTGGAAAATCTAAGACATATAGTCATCATACTAAATGGTCATTTTCTCATTTGGCAAATATTTATCAAGCACTACTATTTGCCAGGCCCTAAATACTGAGTATAAAACAACGGACAAAACACTGAGAAATCCCAGCCCTCGTGGAAAATACAGACAATAAACACGTAAAATACACAATGGCAGGTGGGGATAAGTACAAGGGACAAAAATCAAGCAGAATAACAGGAAAAGGAGAGGAAGAAAGGAGGTTTCCATTTTGTACAGGGTAGTTAGGAAGACCAGGCTAATACAACGATAAGGTCGGGGAAAGTATGAAAATATGTGGGAACAGAAAGATTCTGGCTGAAGAACAGCTAGTGCAAAGGCCCCAGGGTAGGAACATGCTGGAGGGTGGCATGTTAAGAAGCAATAAGTCAGGGAACCTAGATGAGACAAAAGAGGGGGCGGGGCAGAGGGTGTCTTCAGAGAGGTGGGCTGGCGAAGGGGAAATCCAGTGGGCAACTATAGGAACTCAGGTTTTTAATTGAGGGAGAAAGAAAGGCTTTCAGGTTTTAAAGCTTTAAGTCTGATTTACGGTTTTAAAGGTTCAGTCTGGCTACTCACCTAGAGCCAGACTCCTAAGTCCTACGTAAGAGTCTAAGAGGGCTTAGGATGCCCGCTCACCTTCACTGGTTCAATTTTTTTTTTTTTTTTTTTT